TCAAAGAGTAAGAAAAGAGTTGCAATTAGGAAAATAAAATCAAATTTGAAGAGAGAATCCCTCAACATCTTTGGGTAGTGTCCACAAATTCGAGCATAACTTTCTCATCCGGACTCCAAATCAACTGGTTCCGGCGCAATAGAAAGCTATTTCAGCTGGTTACAATTCCTGTCCAATGGCAAATTTCCAAATCCGCACTCGAACATGGTCAAAATTGGATACCAAAAGCGATCATGAAAATACGTGCTACAGTTCGAGGACATGAATGCACATCATGAAACGGGCACAAAAACACTCGCTAGAAAATATACGCACATAAGTAAAAGAACAAAAGCATGCACAAAAGTACTCACTCAAAAGTGCATCAGCAAAAAGGATCATGAAAACACAAACTACAATCCTAGGACATTATTACAATTCAACAAACATGCACAAACACACTCGCTCAAATGGACATGCTCAACCGTACATGTAAAAAAAACGTGCGCATAAGTGCATTCGCAACAACATTCTTAAAAACACGAACTACAACACTAGGACTTTAATACGCATCAACAAACAATAGAAAAAACACAAGATAAAAAGATAAAGTGGAATGTAGAAATAACACTCTACGTTTACGTTTACATGGATTTTTTTTTGATTAATATATATTTCTGTTTTAATTGGTGGATTTGATATCTTATAGGTACAAATCAAAAATTAGGTGTCCAGGAAGCAAAAATGATCAAAGAGTAAGAAAAGAGTTGCAATAAGGAAAATAAAATCAAATTAGAAGAGAGGATCCGTCAACATCTTGTGTAGTGTCCACGAAGTCGAGCATAACTTTCTCATCCACACTCCAAGTCAAATTGTTCCGGCGGCATTAGAAAGCTATTTTAGCTGGATACAATTCATTTGTAACGGCAAATTTCCAAATTCGGACTTGAAACTGGTCAAAATTGGATTCCAAAAGCGATCATGAAAATACGTGCTACAGTTCGAGGACATGAATGCGCATCAAGAAACATGCAAAAAAACACTCGCTAGAAAAGATACGAACAGAAGTAAAAATACAAAAGCATGCACTAAATTACTCACACAAAAGTGCATTCGCAAAAGGGATCATGAAAACACAAACTACAATCCTAGGACATTAATACAAATCAACAAACATGGATAAACACACTCTCTCAAATGGACATGCACAAACGTGTATGTAAAAAAACATGCGCAAAAGTGCATTCGCAACATCGTTCTGAAAAACATGAACTACAACACTACGACTTTAATACGCATCAACAAACAACAATAAAAACACTAGATAAGAAAGATACAGTGGAGTGTAGAAATAACACTCTACGTTTATGTTTACGTGGATTTTTTTTTGGATCAATTTATATTTTTGTTTTAATTGGTGGATTTGGCATCTTATAGGTACAAATCGAAAATGATCAAAGAGTAAGAAAAGAGTTGCAATTAAGAAAATAAAATCAAATTAGAAGAGAGGATCCCTCAACATCTTTGGTAGTGTCCACGAAGTCGTGCATAATTTTCTCATCCGGACTCCGAATCAACTGGTTCCGGCGGCATGAAAAAGCTCTTTCAGCTGGCTAGAATTCCTGAATAACGTTAAATTTCCATATTCGGACTCGAACATGGTCAAAATTGGATTCCAAAAGCGATCATGAAAATATGTACTACAGTTCGAAGACATGAATGCGCATCAAGAAACATACACAAAAACACTCGCTAGAAAAGATACGCACATTAGTAAAAGTACAAAAGCATGCACAAAAGTTATCGGAAAACTTTATTTAGATAGCGGAACCAAAAGGGATCTCTTTGTAATTTTTAAAACTTTCGAGTTGGACCAAAATGTAATTTATAAAAATCTCTTTTTGGGTCATTTGAAAGCCTTGAGAATTTCGAAAACTTCTTAGGGTGATTTTGGTGGTTTAAATTTTTCGTTTTGAAAAAAAAAACTTGGGAAAGGGAGATTATTATTCGAGTGCTACGTTTATCTAACTATAGGTTCTAATTTGGGTTCGAAAAGAAATCAGAGTTTTAAAGTATTTGGTGAATAGGGATTTTCAGGTAAGAAATGCAATTATCAAAATAAGCGAACCAAGTATATTATTATCAAAATAAGGCCCGTACTATGATAAGAGTTTAATTTCCCTAACGAGGAAATATTAGAGTTTAAGGAAGCGGAAATACGGAAATTGTTTATAATTTACATCCCCAAAAATAAAATAAGCGTAGTTTATAGACTCCTCGTACGACCCTCCAAAAGCTTCGGCCAAGACTCCGATCCACTACTCGGTCGATGGAGGAGGTGTTGGCCGATGGAGGAGGTGGTGCTTCGGTGGTGATGGTGAAGAGAAGACAAGTGTGGAGTGAGGTGGAGAGAAAAGAAGAAGGAAGGGTGTGTCTTGGGATGACAAATCCACATTGAGTGTTGGATTAGTGTAAATCATCACACTTTGACATGTGGACAAGCATGCATCTTTTCTAATTTTATTTTCTAATAAAAAAATCACTAATCTCTCTCTCTCTTACTCACATAAACCAAACCCACACATATATAAATACATATACCTATAGTCTAGAGCAACATAGCTTATATAGCATATGCATATATGAATGCATACATGTACGTATATATGCATGTATTATGCATAAAATTATGATTAAGTCATGAAATCATATAAATAAATTACTTATACACATAAGTCACATAATTTAATCTAGCACACAATTATCAATAATTAATCTACTTAAGCACATAATTATCAAAATAAAACTGGCACATAATTATTCAATGAATTCCTAGCACATAAGGCATATAATCGAATCAGCATATAAGGATTATTAATCTAAGTAAATAAAGCACTTAAAGAATTTAAGTTAGTAAGGTAAATAAATTCATAATAATTCCTACGTGAGAATTTTCGGGTTATGGAACTTTGGTTAGGGATTTAGGGTTTCGAAAATGTGGCGTGTTACAAAAGTACTCACGCAAAAGTGCATTCGGAAAAAGAATCATGAAAACACAAACTACAATCCTAGGACATTAATACAAATCAACAATCATGCACAAACACACTCGCTCAAATGGACATGCTCAAACGTCATGTAAAAAAACATTCACAAAAATGCATTCGCAACAACGTTCTTAAAAACACGAACTATAACACTAGGACTTTAATACGCATCAATAAACAACAGCTAAAACACTAGATAAAAAAGATACAGTAGAGTTGATATTAACCACGCCAACCATGTGACTAGACCCGATAACAATACTTCGGTTATCAACTCCTGGACCGTCCAAAAGAAGGATTCAAAAGGGGGTGGAACCGCGACCCGTTGTCTATAAAGAGACAAGAACCTTGGTATGTGAAGACGCCACAATCAATTGTGGAAGATTGATTGATAAGTCAGGTGAACGTACGGAATCCTCCGATATGTTTGAAGAGTTCTTAAAGAACTAGATTGAATAATCTAACAATTTAATTAATGATCAAAAGTTGTATTTCACAATGAATAAGAAGGCATATGTGTAGCCCCCAAAACCTAGTCTTCAAGAATGGAAAATAAAACCCTAAATCTACTTAATAAAGGCTCTAAACAAGTGAACCACGAAATTAAGGAGGGTCTTAATAGAATAGGCCCATAAACACACTAATATGAACTGATTAGAGATGAACATACAAATTTAAGGTAGGGTCGGCTTTGGTCTTCATCCTGCTTGCTCAACTTGGACTGATCTTTAGCCCGGATGGTTCCAACACTTGTCCGGTGAATCCGCCACTTGAATATGCATAATCCAGCCTTTTTTATCACCACTGAAAGAAGCTTTTCTTAGTTAAGACATTTTGGATCAATGCAGCAAGGTTCTCCTTGAATTTCTTAGCTCGACTCCTCGTTACTGGTCCCGTTGGGAGTTGGATTGGATCATCTTGCCAACTGTTGGTGAGACCTCCATCATTCCCCTCCTCTTGAAAAGGATTTGTCCTGAAATCATCACCTACATCAAAATAACTCAAATCAGCAACATTGAAGGTTGTACTAATATTATAGTTACATGGCAAGTCCAGCTTATACGCATTATCATTCACTCGCTCGAGAACTTGAAAAGGACCATCTCCTCTCGGCATCAACTTAGAACGCCTTTGTACTGGAAATGTTTCTTTTCTCATGTGCAGCCAAACCCAATCTCCAGGTTCAAAAACCAACTTGCGACGTCCCTTGTTCACTTGCTTTGCATATTGTTCTGTTCTCCTCTCCATATTGAGCCTTGCTTTTTCATGAATCTGCTTCACAAGTTCAGCCTTTTTCTTTCCATCAAAGTTAACACGCTCACATAAAGGTAGTGGAGTTAAATCCATTGGAGTTAAAGGATTAAAACCATAAACAATTTCAAACGGTGAAAACTTAGTAGCAGAATGAACAGCTCGATTATATGCAAACTCAACATGTGGTAAACACTCTTACCGTGTTTTAATGTTTTTCTTGATAATAGCCCTCAACAAGGAAGACAAAGTCGTATTTACTACTTTAGTTTGACCATCGGTTTGTGGGTGACAAGTAGTAGAAAATAATAATTTTGCTCCTAGCTTACACAACAAGGTCTTCCAAAAGTAACTCAAGAACTTAGCATCACGATGAGAAACAATTGTCCTAGGCATTCCATGACCAAAACTATTATTTTACCCTTCGTAAGAAACAGGCCCAAGTAAGAATTACATAAAACCAAATATCATTTAGACCTAATTTACTTTAGCAAAACAAAGCCCAATAAATAGCCAATTTTTCTTCATCTTCTTCACTCGTGAGTTGCGGAACTGCGACCAGCCACCAAATCTGCAAGCTTAGAAATCCTCTCCGATCGATACTTCAACCACTACTTTCCTCTCTCGTCCTGTTTAATGGGTACCCAATGGCTTTTCATTTAAGAAATTCAAGAAAATCGCCGCTCTCCGCATCCACACAGGTCCACAAATTCCTCGCCGGAGATGGCGGCCGACCGTCACTCTTCGCCGCAGGATTACACTCTCCTGTCCACGGACAAGACACGCCATTACGATGGCGAGGAGTTCAAAGAGAGAAAGTTGACGGTAGCTCTCTGCCCATGTATTTTCTGCTTAATTCTTTTACTCGTAGTAGCATCAATCGTACTCGTTGTCAAATTATGTTTGTACTGCCATACCCCTCTTCACTCTCTCTTAAAAAATGCCTGCCGGCAATAATCCCACACCAAAATCCCCCACTTTGCTTGAATAAAATTAGGCCCTTTTGTAGCGATGTCAATTAAGTCCATACCGATTCCGAATTCGAGAGCGACATCGAAAATGAATCAGCTTCTGCCGAATTCGAGGTCAATTTGAAGGAGGTGGAAAGAGTATGCAAGGTGATCGACGAAATGTTTGCTCTAGATAGGAACATATAGGCCGTTTTAGACGAATGTGGGATCAATCTGAATCATAAATTGGTGTTGTATGTGCTGCAGAGATTCAATCATGCTCGAAAACCCACGTTTCGGTTCTTCCGTTGGGCTGGAGATAGACGTGGATTCTCTCATGATTCGACCACTTACAATGCAATGATGAACATTCTTGGAAAGACCAGACAATCCGAGACATTGGTTTCTCTCCTCGAAGAAATGGGAGAGAAGGGTTTTCTCACGATGGAGACCTTCACCATGTGCATCAAAGTCTTCGCCGCTGCAAAGGAGAGGAAAAAGGGAGTTGCCATTGTCGATTTGATGAAGAAATATAATTTCAAGGTTAGAATAGAGACCGTTAATTGTTTGCTCGATGCATTGGGTAGGGCCAAGCTCGCAAAAGAAGCTCAAACGTTGTTCGAGAAATTAGAACACAAATTCGCCCCAAATCTAAAAACGTACACAATCTTGGTCAACGGTTGGTGCACGATCAAGAATTTAATGGAAGCCGCTAGAATGTGGAATGAAATGATCGATAAAGGGTTTAAACCCAATATCGTAGCCCACAATATAATGCTCGAAGGGATGTTGAGGAGCCATACAAGATCTGATCCAATCAAGTTGTTCGAGGTAATGAAATGTAAGGGCGCACTTCCTACTGTTAGGAATTATTCTATATTAATCAAGAATCTATGCAAACACGGCCACTTAAAAGAAGCTATAGACTATTTTGACGAGATGGTCGATTCTGGATGTGGGCCTTATGCTGCGGTGTACACATGTTTGATGACTGGTTTTGCGAATCAAAAAAAGATGGATATAGTTTATCGATTATTAAACGAGATGAAGGAGAAAAATTGCCAGGCCGATGGCCGATTGTACAATGCATTGATCAAGATGATGGTGAATAGAAGAATGCCCGACGAAGCGGTGAAGATATACAAGAAGATGGTGCAGAGTGCAGTCGGAGCTTCGGTCCACACTTACAACATGATCATGAAATCGTACTTTGTCGCAAGAGATTGCGAAATGGGGCTTGCGGTTTGGGAGGAGATGAAAAGGAGAGGGTTTCGTCCGGAGAGAACTCGTACACGGTTCTCGTGGGGGGCTTGTAAGGCAGGGGAGATTGAATGAGAGTTGTAGGTATTTGGAAAAGATGATTGATAAGAGGATGCGGGCCCTACTGATCGATTATAAGAAGTTTTCGGCTGGTTTTTATTGGAGTGGTGGAATGAATTGTTTGGAGGATTTGGCTGAGAAGATGAAATTGTCTGGTAATTCTGAGGTGGCTAATTTGTTGGAAAACATTCGTAAGACAGCGGAAGGAAAATAAACTTTATTTAAGATACTCCTGTTTAATAGACTAGGTTCCCAAATCAGATTACAAAAATTTATATCTTGGCTAGATATTTTAGAAATTGTTGACGTGTTAAAAATCCGGGTAAGAAAGTCAAGGCACCAAGGCTAGCAATTCCTCGAACTCCCCTCCGCCGGCATCCTAGTTGTTTCAAAAACCTGAAAAGGGAATATAAATAAAAGCATGAGCCCAACCACTGGCTCAGTAAGAACATTGGCCTGACGAAACTCACGCCTCTCTCAACGTGTCACTCACGACCTATGGAAATCCTAAAGTCCCTTCTATGTTCTCTTTCGTCTAAGGATTTTATGTAGTAATTATATTATATCATATTATTTCATCAACGTAAATCACAACATATAATCATGCCACAAATACTTAAACATATAATTTCACACATGAGCACATAATAAAATTCTGGTTTGGCTTTTGAAGGCCATTTGAAATTCACTTTGAAAATCATGTGGGGATTCGTTTTCCTTTAGAAATCACTTCGTAGTTCATGTCGGAACTCGTCTTGGAAAAAATATCCCTTTCAACAAAGTTCCCCTTTTTAGAATGAAAACCACTTTTTAAAACTCTTTTTAAAACCATTTTTCTTTCAAAATCTTTCGTATGCAAGTATGCACATGTTGGGATCCCCATCAAAACCCTAACGTAAGCATCGACAATAGACGTTTATATGCTGACCCCGGTCATTCAGTGGGAGCTAACCACCCTATAGTTCTATAGTAACTGTTGTTGGGATTCCGGCCCCCCGTATCCCGTGTCTATACAACCGTAGCAACGTTACAATTTTGACCTTTCTATAGTAGACCATGCAATACCAATTAATGACTCGATGAATGCACGTAAGTAATGCACGTAAGTCAAAGATCTTAATAGCAACACGATAATAATTCCGATTATATCATTCACATAATTCGAAGGAATTAAATCACATAATTCGGAAGTAATTTCCGAGGATATAGTAAGCACATATAGATCAAACATTAGTAATAAAGACACATATACTTGTACACGTATATACACATAGGTACTTATACATATATATATATATATATATATATATATATATATATACTTATATATATATATATATATACTCTAATTTGTAACTATGGATTATAAGTTTCCTCAACCCGAAGAGAGTACGCCCATAACATCATAAGTCTAAACTATCGATATGCATATAAATATACTTATACATATACATAGTTACACCTCACAAGAGTAAATCACATAATTCAAATACACATAATTAAATTCAACGGTTCTTATTTAAAGAATCATCGGGAAATCTAATTCAGTATAAGTACTAGCACATAGTAAGTTCAAAGAACAACTTATTGTTCTAATCATAGATTAGTCTAAGAATATTTCTTATATGTAGCTCAATACTCATGGGAAACTTCATCTATGTTCAACTATTATGTTAAGTTATGCCTCAAGAGTTTAAACCATGCACACAAAGGACGTTTTGATTCAAGTAGTTTACTCATAGGAAAATCGGACAGTTTTGACACTTTAACTTCAAAAATACATTTCTCTTAGACCATAACTTCAAAACCTCTGAAACTTTGACACAATACTTGTGTATGAGTTTAAAAGACTGATTTAAATCAGTTTTCCAAAATAACTAGTAGACTAAGAGAAATGAGTAAAACAGTGCAGGAGTGTGGTCACACTTTCAGAAACAGAACCAACCACTTTTAAAAAACCCAATAAATCACCCTTTTGTTAAACTAATGTAAGAATTTGCACAAAACTGGTTTTAGAAGTTATAAATATATTCCAAGTAGAATCAAGGAAATCAAACTAGGAAAACATCGATTTTAAAAGCAAATCCTCAGCTGACTCACAAACTGTGCAGGTTTAGTAAATCATTAATATCTTAATCATCCGAAATTCGATTGATGATTAAAATATATAAAATTAAAGAGAACAAAAAGATATAGGTACCCATGAAATTTCGTGCATTTTAAATACCCATGAAATTTCGTGCATTTTCATGAGTTACATAGATGGTCACTTGATTCATTTAATCACATAATTAGAATCAACTACTTAATTAATAAAACAATGATGTCTACTTCTAAAAATACTATGATGTATCTAAATTACATAAACACATAGAGAATGTATAAGTTACTACTCGATTCATGAAATGCACTTGTATTCATATATATTCAATATAATCATATATAAATGCTTATGAAAATGCGGGCTGTTACAATCTTCCCCCCTTAAATAAATTATGTCCTCTAAATTTGAAAAGTACTTTGTCATGAAGTCGAGTAATGAAAAATTTCATTACTTTCCATAATTGGATAAGTAATACTTTGATTCACAAAAGGATTTTCGCAAACTTCCGTTACTAGAAAGCTCATTTTTGTTAAAGCAAAAACATTTTTTTTTGGAATACTTTTAAACAATTTTCTTACCCAATAGTTTTATGAAATCAAAATTTGCTCTTGAAAAATCCTAAACGAGTCTCATCGAGACTTCCAATTTTCGGAAAACGAAATTTGATTTTGAGATAATCTTTTCCCTTTTGAAGAAACAAACGTCTGCATGCATTGTTGAAAACATGCAAATAAAATCAGTGCGCTCTTTATGTATTTAATGAATGCACCACTAAAAAAGCACACAAGTTCCACACAAGATACATATCATCAACTTCAATACATGGCATCGCATATATCCACATAGATTCTACCAAAAATGCTAGATGCAAACTATACTCTAAAATGCACACACATGATTCATATAGTAAGAATTTAACTTTAAAACTTTGGAACTTTTTTTTTTTTTTTTAAATAATCCGGCTTTCAAAAAGATTTGAAATCAATTATATCCTAAATTTCAATCCATGCATATCTTACTCAAACAAAAACTTTTTCAAACCATTTGCTTAAAAAAAGTATCTAAATTTCATAATCTTTCTAAATCCAAATATTATTAAGCAATCATCTGTTTTACAAAAATCAAACTTTCGAAAATCATCATTTGAAAAATAATTTACAATTGACCCATTCAAAAGAGTCAATCAAAGTGATTAGCATGCAAAATAAATAATTTCATTATGATGCACATAATAAATCACTTAGGCATATGGAATGGACTCAAATATATCACATAATGCATGAAACTCACTACCAATGAACACTTTATTCATAAAATTCAATTTCAATTCTCAAAATCTCAATTAAGTCAGGTTATCATATACTATTCTACAGCTAACTTTGAATGTTTAAATAGCGAAAACCCAAGTATCACAATTCGCACATAGTTGGGACCATAGAAAAGCGGGTCAATGAGTTTATGAAAAAAATTCAAGATATGTTTTGTCATAATGCTGCTTCTATCTTGAAACAAAATCTTTTATAAGAACTTCGTCAATATTTTAAAACGTGCCTCTTTCAATCACCAACAAAGTCGAGAGGTTTTATCAAAAATAGAACTTCGAGATTTTAAAATTAGAAACCGGTATCAACTATTTTCGAGAAAATACTTTTTAAAGAAGTTTATACTTATAAACCCAAAATTTTCGAGAGTCGTTAAAAGTATAATAATTTACGAAGAAAACTTGACTATACACACAGTTCACATAATCAAAATAACAAATATCGAAAGCTAAAGGCAAATAGCTCGATTAGATTCTATAGACACCTAGTTTGGTCTAAGCACAACATTATGAATTCAAAATCATCAATCAAATGCACATACAGGAATCTACAATAACAATTTAGTTACATGTATGCAATTATCGAGAAAATTGAAGATCATAAATGTAATAGCATACACATATGCATACAAGTATATCATATCATATGAGATTAATTAAATTAATGCATACACGTAGAAAAATCATGTAATTCATATATATATATATATGAATTTAAATTGCACAAGTACTTAATTTGTAACAAAAGTCGATCATACTTTGTCACCTAAACTACCATACATGTCACATAATATTAATAGCACACTTAGTCAATTATTTCAGGAAATCGAACATGTAAGAATCGAGCACATAGATTACGTAGGGAGTTGAGCATACTATTAGAATCCACCGATACAGAATATCACATTATTCCCTGGTAACCTACTCACATAGTTTTTGAATTGCAAGTTAGTTTCTCATAACATTTAAATTTCATCAAGTTAAACATATCTTTGTATCATAATCACATTATTCAAGCAATCAAGAATTGGCTACCACAACCTTAGAATCCATCAGTTGGACATATAAGTAAAATGTAGTAACATATTCAAGACTAATCATCTATAATATAAGGTACACATAAGTGATTCATCAACACACATGTATAATCTATCCACACATAAGGAGAGTCTTAATCAAAATTCACCAATCAAACACTTCTGACATTATTAACAATTTATGATATTCTTTAATAGCAGAAATCCAAAAAATTATATGTGAACGAAGATTTTCAAACACACTGAAGGTTTTAACACACAAATCTCAAAAAAATAATGGCACAACATGTGTTAGGTATTCAAGAAGGTTAAAACACATAACCACTCATAGTCACATAAAATCAGTTCTAGATCGATCACATAAATATCAAAATATAGAGGTACTTATACCAAAATAATCATACACAAAATCATGTATCAAAACCGCATAAACTATCTTCTCTTTATCATCACATAGGTGCAATTAGGAAATTACAAACCTTAATAGGATTAACTCGAGATACTAACAATGAGTATAGTGACAAGCTTACATAGAATTTTAAGTTCTCTAATTCCAATTAGTCAAAACTAAATATGAATCATACCTCATGACTTAGGCCGGGGGCTGGAGGAGGAATCACATGTGCCTTGAACTGTAATCAGGAATCCAGTGTATTAAACACTGCTCTGATACCACCTTGTAGCACCCTCAATGATTTAATAGAAATTTTAGAGAGTGATTTAGAAAAAAACGGACTTTAAAACTTTCGGAT